CACTTGGTAGTCCAGGCTGGCCTCGAACTCACAGAGATCCACCTGGCTCTGCCTCCCGAGTGCTGGGATTAAAGGCGTGCGCCACCACGCCCGGCTTGAATTCCATTCTTTTTATGTTGTAATGTTCTGTTGTTTATATAGCCACGTTTTGTTTATCCATTCATCTGTGAGTGGACATGTTGGTTGATTCCATGTTTTGTCTATTGGAAACATTGGTGTTCAAGTATCTAAATACTTGTTTTTATTTTTACTTGTTGGTTTTTTGAGACAGGGTTTCTCTGTGTAACAGCTCTGGCTGTCCTGGAACTAGCTGTGTAGACCAGGCTGCCTCAAACTCACTGCCTCCACCTCTCAAGTACTGAATGGGATTAAAGGCATTCACCAACACTGCCTGGCTTGTTTTTAATTTTTTTGTTAAAATTTTTAAAAGTACAGTTGATGGGTTTAATGATGATCTTGTGTTTGTCTTGGTGGGGAAATGGAAATACTGTCTTTCATAGCAGCTGGATCGGTCTTATTTCTCTACAGCCTTACCCTTTATGTTACCCTTTATGATAAATTTTGCTTTTAAGATAAATAAGTACCACCTTACTGGATATGTCTGTTACTTCCTGCAGTTTTGATTCTATGTTTTACAGATGATACATGCATCTTTTTATGTATGCTCTTCGCCATTTATATCTCCTTTGGATCCAAGTCTGTACTCAGACCTACTAGTTTTTTTTTTTAAATATTAGTTTTTTTTTTTCAATTGAATTCTTCATGTAGTGACTATATCTCAGGTTTATAGAATGAGTTAAGAAGTATTCTCTTCATTTTAAAAAAGGATTTATTAATTATGTTTATATGTGTTTGCCAGCATGCCTGCATAGGCACTACATTAGCATGCCTTAGGTCCCCTGGAACTGGTGTCTAAGCCGCAGTGTGGGTGCTGGGAACCCAACCCCAGTCCTGCAGGAGCAGCAAGTGCTCTTAGTCATTGTCGTGACTCAGTGATGGAGATTTTGGATCTTTTTAAAGAACTATGTGTGTGTGTATCTGTGTGTGGGTATGTGCAGATGCCTGAGGAGGCCTTGGGTCTCCTTGGAGCTAGAGTCACTGGTACTGTGAGAATTGAACTCAGGACCTCTGTCTGCAAGAGCAGCAATGCTCTTAATTGTTGAGCCATCTCTCCAGCCCTTTTAAAAGATTATTTATTTATTTTTATTGCTTTAAGTTATGCGTGTGCATGTGGGTTTGTGTACATGGATGTGGGTGTCTGCAGAGGCCAGAGGTATTGGATTCCACAGGCCCCTTGAGCCGTCTGATGTCAGTGCTGGGAAATGCAGTGTTCAATTTAACTGATGACTCATTTCTCCCAATGCCTTTATTATCTATATCTGTCTATCTATCTATCTATCTATCTATCTATCTATCTATCTATCTATCTATCTATCTATCATTAGTGGGAGAGAGAGAGAGTGTGTGTGTTTGTGTATTACACCCATGGAGGTCAGAGGACAACAAAGTGCAGTCTTCTCCGACTACCTTTACATAGGTTAGGTTCCAGAGATCAGACTTGGGTCACCAAGAGTGCATGGCGAGCACCTGTACCCCTCTGCCATCTTGCCAGTCCCGTGTATTTATTTTAACATTACATGTTGGGCGTGGGGCTCGAGCCCGTGGTGGGGAGGAGGTGAACAGCACTTGAGGTCAGAGGGGAACGGGAAGGGGATTGAACGTCATGCTGTGGTCCCCCTGCAGGTGCCTTTACCCACTGAGCCATCTCAGTGCTCTGTATTTAGTTCTGGAAGGGTCTCCTGTGTTTCCTAGACTGCTCAGGACTTTCTGAGCTGGCTGCAGACATCATGCCACCAGGCCTGGTGGGCTTCCCCCCATGGTATCTAATGTTTTTGGCTGTAAGTGAAAAAACAAACAACAAAAACAAAAACCTCATTTTAAAAAGCCTAGGCCAGGGCTGGAGTGGTGGCTCCAGAAGACCTTTTCAGTTCCCAGCACCCACTGGGTGGCTCACAGCTGTCTGTAGGGGAGGGGAGATTGACGCCCTCTCCTGGCCTCCCCAGGTACTGCATGCAGCTGGCGCACAGGTATATATGGAGGCAAGAACACCATACCTATAAAGTGAAAAGCTTAAGAGATCTTTCTTTCTCAGTTAACAAAAGCATGGGCAAAATGGGGAATTGCCAGTTTTTTGAATTGAAGGAAAGATTAAACAGCTAAGCTTAAGATGGGCAAGGAACAGTTAAGTCTAAAGAAGAACATAAATAAAAGGATTGATTGCTTCCAACCTTTTGGTCTTTGCTCCTTCCCTGCTACATACAGATGCTACCTTTTCCCACTGCACACCGACTTCCTCCCTTTGGCAGGGACATGGCTGTCAACAGTACGAGACTTTCATGTCATTCTGTGATGGGCAAGGGAATGATTTCTGTGTTCTAGATTCCAAGATAAAAAATTTCTCAGAAGACCTGTCACCTCACGAAAAGGGGGCTTGCCCTGGCTCACCTGACTCTGGCTAGTGTTCTGAGAGAAACTGGCAAGTAGTCATGGCCAGGAGGCTACAGTATGGGGAAGTGACGTTCCTGGGAGTGGAGATGTCAAATGACCAGTGTATGCTGACACAAACCCACACGCACGTGCACACCATGCACACTGTGACTCAGGAAATGCCATACTCAAATGAGTAGCACAGTATCTCACATGGACCCAACATTTTCTCAGAGAACGGAGATCTGTTTCATTGCTAGGAATCCCTGTTGGGGCGTTCTTAACAAGACCTGCCTGGATTGCCTGAGTCGTAGAAGGACAGCAGATGTAATCCTACTCCTGCTTGCTCCTGCTTCTTAAATTACTGTGTTCTGCAGGTCTGGTTTACCTGTTATTTTTTTTTTTCATTTATTTCTTTGACGTGTATGGGTGTTTTGTCTGCATTTCTGTCTGTGCACCATGTTACAGATGGTTGTGAGACGACCTGTGAGTGCTGGGAACTGAACCCACGTCCTTGGGAAGACCAGTGAGTGCTCTAAACCACTATGCTTCTCCCCGCTCCTTTCTTCTCTCTCTCCAGTTTGAATGTCCCACCTAACCTTATTCTGCCTCACCATTGGCCAAGCAGATTATTTATCAACCAATCAGAGCAACACATTCACAGCATACAGAAAGACATCCCACAGCACTTACAGCAAATAGGCTTTTTTGTTTGTTTGTTTGTTTGTTTGTTTGTTTTTTGATTGAGAGATAGCCAGAATAGTGATTACAGATTTCAGGAATAGAAAAACTTTCCAGAGATCAGAAAACATTACTAGACTTATTGTAAGAATAAAATAGAAAATATAATCAAAGAGACTCAGAATTTAAAATATTGGATCTTTGAAGAACTTAAGGCTCAAACTGTATGACATTATACCGATATTTGATTTTTCTGATCAGTTATTTTAGTTATGAGTATAATTACTGGCTGGGTTTGGTGGCACATTGCATGTGTTTTAGCACTCCAGAAGCTGAGACAAGAGAATCAAAAATTTGGGGCTAGCCTCATCTACATATCAAAATTGTCTCTAAAAATAAATCTACAAATACAATCCCTAAGAAAGACAATTTAGACTCACTAGGTTTAAAAAGATAGGCAACTGTATTAGTCACAGATCTCTAGATATAATAAATAGAATATATATTTGGGGGATGATGTGTGGAGAGGGTGGAAGAGATTTAAGAGAACTGGTTCTCTAGGTTCAGCAAGCAAAGTTCTCACAGTTGGCTGGCAAATGGATTACCAGAGATTGGCATCATAGGGTTGCCTGAGAACAGGGGGACAGGTGCTGTAGGTAGAGAGCCCAGAAGATCTTGGAGTCCTCTGGCAAGGGAGAGTAGGGTACCCCAGGAAGAAAGTGGATTTACCTTTCCTGCCTTTTTGTTGGGTATGATATGTGGAGAAACCACCGGGCTCTGCCTGCAGCTCAGAGGGCAAATCTCCCCACCAGTCCCACCGATTCACGCACGCCTCAGCCCCTCTGGAAACACTCCCAAAAACCCACCCAGAAATCATGCTTTTTTGTTGTTTTTATTTGTGGTTCTGGGGGTTGAATCCATGGGTTCATATATGCTGACAAGCACCATACCAGCTAGCCACATTACTAGCCCAGGAATCTAATCAATTGAATTTTAAAATTAATTAATGGCAAGTTTTCTTGTTAAATTATTTAGTCAGCCATAGCTTTCAAAAAAAAAACAGGCCCTATTGTAGTTTATGAATGAAATTTGGGTTATATTGCTAATAAGATGTGTCTCGGGGGCTGGAGAGATGGCTCAGCGGTTAAGAGCACTGGTTGTTCTTCCAGAGGACTCAGATTCAATTCCCAGCACCCACATGACAGCTCACAACTGTCTGTAACTCCAGTTCCAGGGGATCTGATACTCCACACAGACAGATGTGCACATAAAAAAATTAAAATAAAAAACAAAAAACAGTGGCGCATGTCTTTATCCCAGCACTCAGGAGGCAGAGCCAGGCAGATCTCTGAGTTTGAGTCCAGCTTGGGCTACAGAGTGAGATCCAGGACAGGCACCAAAACTACACAGAAAAACCCTGTCTTGAAAAACAAAACAAAAATCTATGAAAAAAAGATGTTTCTTTTAAACCAAACCTATGAAAAAAAGATGTTTCTTTTAAACCTTATTACAACATAGGCACGTTACCCATCTGACATGAAATTAAATAAATAATGAGTTATTGAGAATAACAGACTTCTGAAATATTGAGTTATAAAATGTCAAATGACTTGCATCTTGTGATTGTTTTGTTTCAGGCTGCAATGTAGAATCTTGGAAGTCCTCCCTCCGTTACATCAGAATGGTTTTGCTAACGGACACATGGGCAGTGTTGATGGAGAGACTATTGTCATCAGTGACAGTGATGATTCAGAAACACAAAGCAGCTCTTTTCAACATGGGTGAGTAGTTTGTGACTTAGAGGTCAGGTTGGCGATAGTCTATTGCAATGTTTTTCTTCTTTTATAGTCATACTGTGGTATACCATCCATAAATAACCCATTTCAACAACAGATGTTAGAATTTTCAAAATAATCCTGGTTAACTCTCTGATTACCTGCTTAAGCACAGTCCTCTTTGCTGGGTGTGACAGTGCACGCCTTTAATCCCAGCACTGGGAGGCAGAGATAGGCCTTGAGTTTGAGGCCAGCCTGGACTACATGGTGAGTAGTCAGCCAAGATGGTGAGACCCCGTCTTGAGAAACAAAAACAAAGCAGTTTGTTTCTTGTTGTGCTGGGGATTGAACCTAGAGCCTCACAGGTGTAGGCAAGCACTTTATTGCCACCGTTCATGGCATATTACAGCAGATGTCAATTAACAATTCAGATATCAACCCACGAGGTGAATAACTCTGGTGGAGGAACCTCGTCAAGCAAGGCTTACAGGGCCACAAACTCTGAAAACTGGTTGCTTCTGTCTGTAGTTTCACATGTGCAAAAACAGCTGCGGAATCTCCCCTTTTCCGTGTATTCATGTAATGTGTACATGTAATCTCATAATTACACCTCAATCTATGGGCATTTATTCGGTGGACTGTCTAAAGATGCTTTCTTCTTAAGCTGTATAATTTTGATGAATAGAAATAATACACGGATATATTTCATAGCTCGGGTGGACATAGGAAAAGAACAGTATTCTGAACTACAAAGACAGCTTTTTACACAATTAGCTGACTTAAGACCTCAGAGCAAATTCCGAGTAGACTAATTGCCGCTGAAAATGAATCTCTGCACAGGGACAGATTCCCAGGTGTCTGGTTGTTGAACCAAGGTCAGGCATGAAGCAAATGTGGTATCAATTCCCCTGCTTGCTAAACTCGGGCTGATAGCATTCAAGACCCAACTCCCTGCACAAATTCTCACTCTGCATGAACTCCTAATCTCAGCTTCATGATACAAGACTCAAGGTTCAGTCAACTAACTTTATATTTAGGTCCTGGGACACTTTTAAGGTCACTGTCCCTGGAGAAAGTGCGGGGCACTTGTGAGTGCTGTGTGACCCTCAAATGTAAGCTTTCTGTCGGGAATATATACAGCTGCGTAAAGACAGAGAGGGAGGAAGATTTCGAGCGATTTCTCAAGATGAAGTAAAAAACTAAGTTACCATCAAAACGCACGTGTCCCTTTCCTAATACCCCTCAGATAGAAAGTTTAGTTCTCGATGACAGTGGATTTTTTTTTTTTTTTGATACCCTGGGTGTGGTCTTGGAGCTGGATCTCTGAAGACTGCGGATACTACACTATAGGTCTTCAGCAGTGGTGTTAATTAGGGTTCATTCTTCTATGTTGCCTCTCACTGCTGTGTTCCTGCAACTCCTTATTGTTCCATACTTTCCAGAGTGTGGCCTTTCCAGACTGACTTCTTTCACACTGGAGCATATGCATTTAAGTTCTCACTAAATCTCTTTGATCAGAGCTTGATAGCTTGTTTCCTTTTTGCGTGGACTAACACTGCATTATCTTAAATTACTACATCTATTTTGTGTGCCACAGCTTGCCTGTGACGGTCACGGGATACATGGGAGCCAGGTTTTTCCTTCCACCACGTGGTTCTGGGTCCTTGGGCGTCAGGTGCCTTTACTGGAGTCATCCACCGGCCTAAAATGTTCCAGTCTCTATACGCTACTTGTCACTTAACTACTGAAGGGCATTTTTGCTGCCTCTGTGTGTTGGCAATTTCAAATAAAGAATAATGTGAACACATATGGCAGGCTTTTGTGTAGACGTAAGCTTTTTGCACATTTGGGTAAATATTAAGATGTATGAATGCTAGATCACTTAAGAATGTATTTAGGTTTTTGTCTTTTACAAATTTTTTCTTGTGATACAATGTCTTTGCATATTGAGAAACATCATCTCTCACGTAGCCCTGGCTGTTTCTCACTGCTCTGTGTTCTCACTTAGCAGTTGGCAGGTCTGATGTTGACACATCTTTGTCAGCCCTTAATATTTTCTCTTCTGAGTTTTGATTTGAATTTCTAATGATTGAGAATGTGAATGTCCTCTCATGTGTTACTGGTCACTTGGGCATCGTCTGTCTTTAGAGAAATGTCCATTTATAAATATAAAGGCCTTTGCCCTTTTTTCCACCTTTCCCGACTGTAAGGATTGGACCTGGGGCTTTACACATGCTGAGCACATCTGTGTCCCTGAGCTATACCTCCAGCCCTCTATTTTTAAACTGAATTGTTTTTCTTTTTATAGTTAAGTCTTAGGATTTTTAAAAGAGATTTTGATCATTGGGGTTTCAAAGTAGAATGTTAAATGTTTTGGGGGAGCATATTGATTGCCTTTTGCAAAACCCAGTACCACATCATTTTAAATTTGCATTCTAGGGCTGGAGAGATGGCTCAGCGCCTAAGAGCACTGTCTGCTCTTCCAGAGGTTCTGGGTTCAATTCCCAGCACCCTCATGGCAGCTCACACCTGTCTATAGTGAGATTTGATATCCTCTTCTGGTGTGCAAAGAAAGCACCCATATTCATAAAATAAACAGATAAATCTTTATGAAATTGCATTCCTTCAGAACATATTGGGCATTGACAGGACTGATCCTCCAAATAGTATTTCCTTGTAGATCAGATTTTTTGGTTAACAGTGGTCAAAATTTTAAAGAATAGATCACTTAGTACTTCTAAGGATCTCTTTCTCTCTCTTTTACACACACACAAACACCTATGGAACTGACAGGTGTGACTGCCATGTGGATGCTGGTATTTGAACCCAGGTCCCCTGGAAACACAGCAAGTGTTCTTAACTCCTGACCTACCTTCCCAGCCCTGCACACACGCTTCTTAAACTACCTTTCTCAGAGATCATGTTAGTCCTTCCTGTCACAAGCACAGTTTGTGTATACTTCAGTTTTGACAGCTTTATATCCTTTTATTTCTGTTTGTTTGATTTTTAAGACAGGATCTCACTATGTAGCCCTGGCTGGCCAGGAACTCACAGAGATTATCCTGTGTCTGATTCCCAAGTGCTGGAATTAAAAGAGTGTGTCTCTATGCATGGTTTATTCCATGGTTCTTGAAGAACCTAATGCTCTTACAGAATGGCCAATATTTTTTGCCAAAATTGGACCTTTACACAGGACAAGTCATATTCTTGCTCAGCCTTTGACCTTTGGCAGCATTTTTTTTTTAAAAGACAGAATCTCATGAAATCCAGGGTGGTCTGAAATTCTATATGTAGTCAAGGATGGCCTTGAATTCTGGATCCTCCTGCCTCTACATCCCAAATGCTGTAATTACAAGTATGCCCTCATGCCTTGCTCACAGCCTTTAATAGTCTTACTTAAGACTTTAGAATAAGACAGAGATAACACTAGCCATACACAAGAAGAAACACTGTGAGTTTACAATTATTTAACTCATCTTAAGATATCTGCAAAGCCTTTTTTTTTTTTTTTTTTTTTTTTAATAAAAGCTGACTTCCTGGCTGGTATTTATAGTACTAGATAAACTTTGAACTGTGTTTTAGAAGTGCTGAGACCAGCGCATGTAATTCCTTGTTAACGAAGTGGACCTCATGGTTCTGTCATGCTGAAATTTATCTGTATCTCTGAAAATTGAACTAAATTGATAGACAGTCTTGCCTAAAATATTCACAGCTAACAATCTGAGTAAGGTGTGGTAAGCATAGGTGAATTTATTCTGATGATTTCAAGATAGTTTAGTTAGGTTAGGTTTAGGTCATTTCTAATGTGTTCTCCTATATGATAAAGCTTCTAACTTTCTTTTTAAATTTTTATTTTATGTGTATGTGTTTTTGTTTACGTGTCTGTCTGTGTGTGCAGTGTGTGTACCTGGTGCTCTTGAAAGCTGGAAGAAGGTGTTGGGTTCCCTGGAACTGGGGTTTACAGGTGTGTGTATATGTGTGTGTGTGTGTGTGTGTGTGTGTGTGTGTGTGTGTGTGTGTGTGTGTGTGTGTGTGT